ATAGAACAGACTGACAAATCTCAGAAAGAAGAGGGGTTGATGGCAGGAAGAGATCAACCAAAGGTCATATATACATATATATATATATATATATATATATATATATATATAGTTATGCATTATCTATGGACACGGAAAATAGGGTGGTGAAGGCCTAGTTGGTTGGGAACTGGGTAGAGGGGACAACGGTGGGAAAAAAGGGGGACATCTGTAATACTCTCAACAATAAACATATTTTTTAAATAAAAAAAAAAAAATAGCTCAGCTGGCATGGCTCAATGGTTGAGCATCAACCTATGTACAAGGAGGTCATGGTTCTATTCCAGTCAGGGTACATGCCCAGGTTGCAGGCTCAATCCCCAGTTTGGGGCATGCAACAGGCAGCCAATCAATGATTCTGTGTCATCATTTATGTTTTTATCTCTCTCTCCTTCTCCCTTTCTGTCTGAAAGAAAACATAAAATAAAAATGTTTAAGAGCTGTGGTACATTTACACCATGGAATACTATGCAGCAGTAAAAAAGAAGGGTCTCTTACCATTTGAGACAGCAAGGAGGGAGCTGGAAATTATTATGCTAAGCGACATAAGCCAGTCAGAGAAAGGCAAGTATCTCATGATCTTGCTTATATGTGGAATCTAATGAACAAAATAAACTGATGAACATTGAAGCAAATAGCAGACTGTGAAATCTCAGAGGGAAGGCAGAGGAGTATGGGAAGTGATCAACTAAAGAACTTGCATGCTTATATGCATAACACATGGATATAGACAATAGGGTGGTGACGGCCAGGGGAGGGGGTCCGAGGTGTGATAAAAGGGGGTCAATGGGAAAAAAGAGGGACATATGTAATACTTTCAACAATAAAGATTTTTAGAAAATAAATTTTAAAAAATAAATTTTGGGGCTCTATTTAAATGTTCCATTTGCACAATTTTCACAATAGATAATTTCACTTGCATACTCTTATTAATTTACAACATCTTTCCTTGTTCTAGTTTGTTCACCTTCAAATTTATTTTCTAACAAGTAACCTCACTGCCTTGAATCAGAAGATTAAGTAGTATATATAAGCATCTACAGAAAATATCCATTGCTACTTTTTTGGGGGGTGAGGGGTAATTACTCATGTTGAGACCTATAAAATTCGTAATTATCATAAACATCCTAAAGGCTAATACACCACTTTATTTGGCAGCTTATCCAATAACCTAAATAGGAATGAATATAATTGCTGACAGTCAACCAACTGCAATATCCAAAAATATATTTTGAAATTTCTCATCAAATGATAAAATGTAACATTTATGGTATTATAATATGTGGACTCTGAGAAGGAACATGGTTCTGAAATGGGAGTCTGGTGCTCTTCGTTCTGGATCAGTCTTATCACTAGTATGTTCTGTGACCTACCTTTGGCAAGTCACTTCTACCTCTTTGAACCTCAGTTTCCCCATCTGTAGAATGGAAGGGAGAATGCTTAGACTAGCATATTTTGGGGTCTCTATTTCCTGAGAGAAGCTGATAAAAAGCTACAGAACCTATTACCACAAATGTATGTTTGCACCCAAAAATTTTCTTACATTTTTTTTGATATCCATCATGGACTTCCTAAGACTTGGATGAAAAGATGTCTGGGGATTGTTCTACACATTAAAACTTCTGATTTTCATGAAATATACCAAAAGAAAAAACTAAGCAAAAATACTGTGAAAGACATCATTACTTACTTTGAATCCCAAAACATATTAAGAGCTATAATATATAACAAATGTCTGTAAACAAGGTTTCTTCAGATAGATACCTATCTGACCCAGAGGTGGATAAATGAAAAAAACCCACCCATTCTCCTTTTTCATATTCTAATGCTTAATAAATGAAGGGCATTTAACAATCTTAGCTACCCCAAAATGAATTAATGTTCCTGCTTTCTAGTCCCACTACCCTATAGGTTAAGAACCACAGACTGGTAACAGACAGACCTGAACTGGAGTCCTTGCTCTACCACTTCCCTTGCAAATTTAAGTCCATTACTTAGCATCTACATGTTTGAATCCCTTAGTCTATAACAGCCATGGGCAAACTACGGCCCGCGGGCCAGATCCGGCCCGTTTGAAATAAATGAAACTAAAAAAAAAAAAAGACCGTACCCTTTTATGTAATGATGTTTACTTTGAATTTATATTAGTTCACACAAACACTCCATCCATGCTTTTGTTCCGGCCCTCCGGTCCAGTTTAAGAACCCATTGTGGCCCTCGAGTCAAAAAGTTTGCCCACCCCTGGTCTATAAAATGAAAATAGAAATAACTCATAAAATTACTGAGGTAAAACATGCAAAGTGCTTGGCATAGTGCCTCATACACAGTAAACACTTAATAAATGTGAGCTATTATTATTAATAAATTGAAATGCTGCTATCATAACTGAAAAATACACATTTTTTAATAGTAAGTAGAAATTTCTAAAACAGAATCTTCTATTTTCAGTAACATTTTTCCCCATACTCTTCCCTGGAAAGATTAAAAGTATAAACGGCTACCTATTAGACGTATGTATGAAGTGGTGAGGTAGAGTAGAAAGAAATCCAGCTTCAGAGCCAGGTAGGTCTCAGCTGTAGACCAAATTCAGTGGCTCAGTAATTATGTAATCCAGGCCATGTAAACTCTCTCTCAATCTTGTAAAGCTATTGCAAGAAGTACTAAGTATGTAAAGCATCGAGCACAGTATCTGGCATGTAGTATGCACTCAATAAACATCATTTATGACTATTCTAAGCTACCCTTCATAAGTGACAAAACCAGCTTTGCCAAAGAGGAAAAGCATAGGCAAGCACAAATCCAAATATACAGGCCAATGATGGACACTCATTTTCTCTTATCCATGAAAAAGAAAGAAGAGAAGAGAAGAGAAGAGAAGAGAAGAGAAGAGAAGAGAAGAGAAGAGAAGAGAAGAGAAGGTTTGGGGTTTACATACTCCTTCCAGAGGCTAATGAAAATGGAGCTCCTAGAAAACTAACCAGTATTTCAGGAAATTCTCTATGTAAGGAATCTTAAAAACCTTTTTGTAGAAAGGAGACTAGTGCCCCACTGGTGTTGCTCAATGGTTGAACATCGACCTATGAACCAGGTCATCGTTTCATTCCCAGTCAAGGCACATGACCAGGTTTCGGGCTCCATTCTTAGTAGGGAGCATGCAAGGAGGCAGTCGATCAATGATTCTCTCTCACTGATGTTTCTATCACTCTCTCTCTTCTCTGAAATCAATTTTTTCTATTTTTTTAATATATTTTTTTATTGACTTCAGAGATGAAGGGAGAGAAACATCAATGATGAGAATCGAGAGCCCTTCTGGACAGCTCCCGCTCACCCAAACAGAAGCCGTCCGCACCGGAGCGGGCTGGGACATGGCTAGGCTGCGTGCGTGCGTGCTGGCCGAGCGGCGGGGCTCGGTGATCCCTCCCTCCCTCCCCGCCCCCTCTCCTCTCCCGCACGCACGCCCCCGCCCCGCCCCCAAAAACAAACAAAAAAAAAAGAATCACTGAAGCTGCCTCCTTTACTACCCTATGAGAATGGAAATCAATTTTTCTTTTCCTATTAAAGAGGAGACTAGGTAGCTTTTTCTGGACTTACTAGCAAGAATCTGAAAACGTTATCTACTCAGTCTTGTGACCAAGCGATTCATTTAACTTTGCTCAGATTGAAGCAAGTAAATCTTTCCTTTTTATTAAACTTCTCAATTTCATGACCTATCTGGTGTTGTATGGGAATACAAATCTTGGTAAATGAAACTACAAGCTGTGCTAGAATTAGGTCAAATGTTTTTAAATGTGTTGTCCGAACACACAACCCAAACACAGAACCAAAAGGAAAAGAAAAAAAAAATAGTCCAGCCCTGGCCGGGTATCTCAGTTGATTAAAGCATTGTCCAGATACCCAGATATGCCAAGGTTTCGGGTTGGATCCCAGGGTCAGGGCACACACAAGAAAAAACCAATGAATGCATAAATGGGTGGAACAACAAATTATGTTCCCCCCCCCCCCCCTCAAATCAGTAAGACAAAATAGAAGTCCAAAAGGATAACAAACCTGACTGCCTTCAATTCTTAGAAAAGCCGAATCAATTAAAGGAGTCAAATGAGCCTCAAAATTCCAAAAATAAAAATAAAAATCTACAAACACGGACGTCATTTAAAAAACAAAACTGAGCCATGGCCAGGTAGCTCAGTTACAGCGTGGTGTACAGCACGGTTTCCGTTTGGATCCCGGTAACAGAACATACAAGAATCAACCAATCAATAAGTGGAACAAATCTGTTTTCTTTCTCTCTCTCTCTCTCTTTCTCCTTCACTCTAAAATCAATGAAAAGTTTTGAAAAGTAAAAAATAAATAAAAAACAAAACTGAACCAGCAAATACAGTTTACCGAGTAAAGGAATATAGCTTATCCTTTTTAATCCTTAAACTTCCCAAATTCCCTGTAACGTAGAGTCAGAATAAAGTGGACGCGCGACCCAAGGAGCGAACCGGAAAAACGTTTGGCCCCAATGACCTTGGTCCCAAAGAGTCGCCTCCCTCCCGCGGCCGCCCTACCACGTGCCGGCGCTGCGGGGGCCCCGAGGCGTCTGCAGGCCAGGGATGCACTTGGGAGCACGAGGCTGCAGGGCGCGGGGGTGCCAACAGCGCGGGGCCGGGCCGAGCCTTTCTTCCTCCCTCCGACCCCCACATCCCGGCGGAGCTCAAGGCCCCGCGCCCGGGTCCCCACCCACGCTGCGCGCAGTTTGGGGGAACCCCGCGCGCGGCTCGGGAAGCCCAGTCCGGCAACTGCACGTCCCCGGGATAGACAGCCCCAGGATGCGGGTCCAGCAGCAGGACAGCCGCGCGAGACTCCTGTGCTACGCCGCCACGCCGCCTCCCTCGCGGGCTCCCAGGCGGTCGGGCGGGCGCGGCGGGGCCGAGGGGTGGAGGGTTAGCGCGGAGGCTGGGGCGGGGCGGCGCGCTCACCATGAGAACTTTGGCCGCGTTCTCCAGCTGGGCGATCACTTCTGGGGGCCCAAGTGCCGCCGCCATCATGGTCTCTCTTCAATGACGCGCCATCCGGTGCATTCTGGGAGCGGCGCCGCGGCCGGCCAATCGACGGACGGCCCGCCCCTCGCGCTCCCCAGGCGGCTCCAGGCGATGATGGAGGCAGGGAGGCGGAGCGAGGACGGTCGGGCGTCGGGCGCCGCGCTGAGGACCGATAGGGGTGGAGACGGGCGGCTGGGGCGGGGCGGGGAATGGGTCTGGAATGGGACGGGAACAGGGACCAGTGCGCCCGCTGCTGGTCCCGCGGCAACTTGTCACTGACCCTGAGTCCCCGGCGCCGCGCGGACCTCCGCCGTCTCTTCCGTCCCTTGTCCACGCCGCGCGCTGCGCGGGGGAACCTTCTGTGAACGGGATCTCAAGGTGCGTCCCCCGGGCCCTAGAACGTGCGCCCGGCAGCCTGGCCTTCATCCCGCGACCACAGCGCGCGCTGAGGCGGGCCCTGCGGAAGGCGGCGTCCGGATGCATTCACACCGCGGGCCGCTGACACCCAGCAAAAAAGCCGTTCCTTCTCCTTAGCCAAGGCTCTCGGTCCCCATGAGAGGGGAAGCGGGGACCCGGGCTACCTACCTGCTTCTCTCGCCTCCGGGCCGCCAGCTAGGTCGCGTTCACGGGTTTCATCTTGTTAATTCTGGGTCCCTGTGGGAAGGCCATTGAGTCGCCAGTAACACCTCTCACCCTCGGTCACTCTGCTTTACAACGTTCAGGCACGTGGTCCTGAGAAAGCGGACTCAGCATTCACACAAATTAGTTTGAGGGTGTATTTCGTTTACAGCCCATATTCCTGTTCCTATAACTTTGGTTACTGCTTTGCTGCTGCTCCGCTTCCTAGGGCTACACAGTGAGGAAAGAATGAAGATAGGGAATATAGAAACTGGGGTCACTTTAACCAAGCTGCTAAAAATTATTAACTTTAGGAAGGTTGAAGCATGAGGAAAGATTCCATTCTTGTTCTAACTAGCCTGGGAACTCAAACTTTTTGAACTTTTCAGTCTTGGGTCAATGCCTTACTGTACATCTGGACGTACACCCGACCTCCAGACAGCCCTCTGATTACCTCCCTGCAGGACTCACATATCCAGACTATGGGACCCAACCAGACCTGGTGTCCATTGTCCAGGACACCTGACCGACTGACTGATAACTGCCCTGGACCAATCCTAGGGCTAAGAATGCAGGACTGGTAATTCTCAAGAGTGCACTTTTTTCTGTAAGAAAAGTTTTCTTCCTTTTTTGGAATACTTCTGGGGTTTTGCCCACCTGTGTTCCACATTTTGGAACTCCTAAGATCCTTGAAAAAAATCCTTATCATTTATTTCTAGCCAAAGCCTCCAGATTCTTTTTGAGTTCTCTTGACAACAGAAAGTTAAATTCATTTCAGGGTTTTTAAGTTTCCACTGTTGGAATCTTCCTCTACTTCTTCTTCCTGGTTATAAGTAAGTCACACTTTTGAGGTTTGTTTGTTTTTTCAGAGGAAGGGAGAATCATTGAAGGACCCTGCTGCAGGCCCCCCACTATGGACTGAGGCCAAAACCAGGCATGTGCCCTGACCGAGAATAGAGCCATGACTTCCTGATTCATAGGTCAATACTCAACCACTGAGCCACACTGGCTGGGTGAGGGTGTGTTTTTTTATGTCACTGCAGGAGAATTGCATTATTAGCTCCATTGAAAAACAGGGTTTTTCATTTGGCATTTCCACAACTTAAATTTAGTTGACAAAGTGATTTAATTTTTAAAGCATGAACCCTGGCGGGTTTGGCTCAGTGGATAGAGTGTCACCCTGCGGACTGAAGGGTCCCAGGTTCGATTTCAGTCAAGGGCTCGTACCTCAGTTGCAGGCTCCTGGCCCTGGTCGGGGTGCATGCGGGAGGCAACCGATTGACATTTCTCTCTCTGTCTCTCCCTCTCCCTTCCACTCTCTCTAAAAATCAATGGAAAAATATCCTTAAGTGAGGATTTAAAAATAAGTAAATTTTTATTGCTTGAGAAACAAAGTAACTTTCATTTCACTACAGAAGGACAAAGTGAGCCAAAATGCAGTTAGTGGCCTTTTATATTTTAAGAATTGTGTGAAATGAAGTGGTTAAGGTAATGACACAGTAGCCTGGCCAAGAGGTCCCTGGTTCAATTCCTGGTCAGGGCACATTGCCTGGGTTTCAGGCTCGATCCTTAGTAGGGAGTGTGCAGGAGGCAGCCAATGGATGTTTCTCTCATTGATGTTTCTCTCTCTCTACCTCTCCCTCTCTCTAAAATCAATAAAAACATGTTTTAAAAGATAATGACAATATTTGGCTAAATGTTTCTAGCTGTGACAAAGAATAATTATGGCAGAAATGTAGACAAATGAATAGTTTGTGACATTGAAGATTTGAGGCTTATAATGCTTCAGATTGGGCTGTCTGTTCCAAAGCATTTGTTTGTGCAATTACATAAAAAATTTGCATCTAGCCACAAGGAAGAAGGAAAAGTATTTTACCAAATGTGAGAGTGAGTGTCCTTACAAATTAACAGTATTTTGAATTTAGAAGCTTTATAAAGGGTGTTACAAACATCTCACATAACTGGGAACCATGAATGTTAGGGCAAACATTGAAGTTGTGGAATATTAATGTTGGAAACACTAAAATTTATCTACTGCCCTAACCGGTTTGGCTCAGTGGATAGAGCATTGGCCTGCGGACTGAGGGGTCCCAGGTTCGATTCTGGTCAAGGGCATGTACCTTGGTTGCGGGCACATCCCCAGTAGGGAGTGTGCAGGAGGCAGCTGATTGATGTTTCTCTCTCATCGATGTTCCTAACTATCCCTCTCCCTCTCCCTTCCTCTCTGTAAAAAACCAATAAAATATATTTTAAAAAAATTTATCTACTAACCTCCCCTCCAAATGCCTGGCTCTTATTTCTTGATTTACTGTTTAACAAAAACACTCTCGTGGGGGGCGGGAAACAAGTAGTATTGCAGTCCAATGTGCTTCATATCCTAAAATAGAAGAAAAAAAAGTTGTGAAAATTACAATAATTTCTCACGAGGCATGAAAGAAATGTTTGTGGTCTAGGAAAGGATAGTTGCCTGGTTGAAATGTTCCTGAAATCAAGAACGTTTCACAGATACATCCCCTAGTACTTTTAAGGTACTCCTTTAACAACTATGATGTTGATGAGAAGAATTGAGATGTGCTAAATTAAATTACAGTCCAAGGCTGGAGAGTAGAGAGAGACAAGAGTAATTAACCAGTTAATAGCTATGCATCAATTAGCAGTAAGACTGCTCACATTCCTGAATGTATGTTGAAGCTTTGAATCAACTTATTCAGTGACTACCATATCCCACACATGCCGTAACCAATCAAAAGTAGTAAATATTGCCCATGCAGTTTTTGCTCAGTGGTTAGAGCATTGGCCTTCGCAACTGAAGCGTCTCAGGTTCAATTCCCAGTCAAGGGCAGAAACCTTTCCCACCCACCCTTATCTGTAGTCAGTGGAAATTCTTTCAAAACAACTGACATCTTCCCAAACTTAATGTATAAAAATGCCCAGGAGGGCGAAACATGTTCCTCTTCCCCATCTCACCTTTCTGCTGGTGGTTTAGATTATATACCTCAGAACTTGGTCCTTTTCTGGCTAGCATAAATCCTTTCTTTGAGAAAAGTTTTCGGTGTGCAGGTTTTTTGTTTAACAATGCCATGTGCTCCAAAATTATTGCTACTTTATTCTTCACCAAAAGTAATTGAGTATCTATACTAATAAAAGGGTAATATGCTAATTAGACCAGGTCAACTGGCCATCTTCCAGACGTCCGACTTCCTTCCAGACAAACCCATGGTGGTGGGGGCCGAGGCAGAGGCAGTTAGGGGCGATCAGGCCGGTAGGGGAGGACAGTTGGTGGTAAGATCAAGCCAGCAGGGGAGGGCAGTTGGGGGCGAGATGAGGCCTGCAGGGGAGAGCAGTTGGGGGCGATATCAGGCTGGAAGGGGAGGGCAGTTGTGGGTGAGATCAGGCCAGCAGGGGAAAGCAGTTGGGGGTGAGATCAGGCCGGCAGGGGAGGATAGTTAGGGTCGATCAGGCAGGCAGGCAGAGGCAGGGGTGATCAGGCAGGCAGGGAGAGGGGTTAGGGGCAATCAGGCAGGCAGGCAGGCAGAGGCAGTTAGGGGCGATCAGGCAGGCTGGCAGGTGAGCGGTTAGGAGCCAGCACTCCAAGATTTCAAGACAGATGTCCAAGGGGTCCCTGATTGGAGAGGGTGCAGGCTGGGCAAGGGATTCCCCCTCCCCGCACCCCCCCCCATACAAATTTCGTGCACCGGGCCACTGGTGTAATATAATGACCTGGGAAAAATATCAACTGCTTTTCTTCCTCAACTTGGGGGCACTTCATTCCTGATCAGCAACAACTCTAACCAAGCCAAAGTCCAACTGGTGAACAAAAATGTTTATGTTAACCAAGGAAGTAAGAAGGTTTGGAGAAGCTGACTGGTGATGAGATGGGCTGCCCCCTGGCATTTCTCAGTAAGCCCAGAGGGGTCTCAGAGGCTCCCTAAACAGAACATGAGTTCTTTTTCTTTTTTTAACATATTTTTATTGATTTTCAGAGAGGAAGAGAGAGATAGAAACATCAATAATGAAGAGAACCACTGATCGGCTGCCTCCTGCACACACACCCCACCAGGGATCAAGCCCGCAACCCATGCATGTGCCCTTGACCAGAATCAAACCCGGGACCCTTCAGTCCCGCAGGCCAATGCTCTGTCCACTGAGCCAAACCAGCCAGGGCAGAATGTGAGTTCTTAACATCTGTGATCCATGGATCTGGGCCTCAGTAGGATCTGGAATGAAAGGAAACCTTACATGAACAATAATGTTGTAAATTTAAAGTACAGAAATGAAATGTTAAAGAATAAAATAAGGATAACATTCACAAGAAGTAATGAAATTCACACTCTCGTGGGACTATAAATTGGCACAGCTCTTCCAGAAAATTGATTTGGAAATATGTAACAAGAGCTTTAAAACACGGTCTTAAGGTTCTAGCTGGTGTGGTTCAGTGCTTTGAG